AAAAAAAAAAAAAAAAAAAAAAAAAAAAAAAAAAAAAAAAAAAAAAAACATCACATACATAAAATGAATCATTCTTTTAAAAATGTTGCAATAATTTTAACAAATTTAAAGACATTTTGGTTACCCCAAAGACTCAAATAATGCATTTTTTAACTATGCATATTTTTTTTTTTTTAAATTGAGATGCTAACCACCTCAAATAGTAAAAGAAGTTTCAAAACCATGGAAGTTAATTAAAATAATTAAATTAAATAAACATAAAAGTATAACAAATCAAAAGGTATGAATTATTTTGGAAAACTAAACAGTTATTAAAACATCTTTCAATGCCCAAGCCTAAATTTTCGTTGGAATACAGAAAAAAAGATTTTGGTTGCCTTTTTAAGTTTTCTTGATGATAAACTACTCAAATTGGTGTTTGTATGATAATCAATCACTATTTGTAGAAAAAACAAAATGCACAGTTTATACATTACATCTATTTTAAAAAAATATCAAAGGCAATGTTGTTTGCTGTTAGCTTTTTTTTTAATACTATTTATGAAAAGTGATATTCTTAAGTGGCCCCCGGGGACTGCCCATGCGTTAAGGCGGTACTGAGAAGTACAGTTGCATGATTGAACTTACACACTTAATAATAAAATCTGCAAGATAATCTAATGGCACAAATTAATAAAAGCATGAGTACCATGGATATTGATGAGTAAACTCAGGGCTGAACATAGGTGGATGCAATGGGTAAACAGGAGTTCTCATACCTGAAAAGAAATAATTTCAACCAGTTTCAAAAGTAGAATAATAAAACATATCATATCATAAGAGTATCTTCTAATATTTTATATGTACAATACATTTGAGTGAAATAAGAAAAAACACATAATTCATTTTTAAGTTGAATTAAAACATGTCAACGGAATTTCCTTAGTTTCAGAATATATTTTGCCTAGTGGTAGCGAAGGCAGTTTAATGAATAAGAATTAAATTAATTTAGTCTAGTCGGATAGATATTAGACTAGATTCTTAAGCTATGATAACAGTTTATAAAAATTCTATTTGTTTTAAAAATTTTTGCTTTAATACACCACCACTGGAAAAAATAATTCGTGGAAACTCCCAAGTGGTGGGAAATATGGTGGCCAAAATTAAGAAATTTTACTTATTGGCTAGTTGTAGCATGGTTACTCTTTTAAAAATTCAGAACAATTAAAAAACTGTTCATAAATCAGTTTTATATAATGTAATTTCCTTTGAAGAATTTCTCAAAGTATGGCAAACATGTCAAGGTCATCTAAAGGAATTTGTTATTAGCGATGCACTAAACAATCATGTCTGAAAAACATTTTAAAACTACTATTTCTGTAAAATGCCAGGTGTAATTTATAGTGGAATAAAGACAATTACCCGTTTTAGGATCCACTTGAATGGGTGGTATTCCAATGTGAGCAGGAGGCGGTTGAAATTCTCGATGATTGTACATTTGCATGAGAGATAGTGGAGCATGGTTAGAAGGAACAAGGGGAACTCTATTGACCTACAGACATAAAGTTTATTATTAGATAAATAAAATTAAACTCAATCAGCTATACAATATAGTAAATGGTCAGAACTAACACGCTACAAGGAACGTAACTACAGCAGTCACTACCTTTTTGCTAGTTTATAATGTACATAACTTTTTTTTTTTTTTTTAAAGTAGCGTAGTGAATAGAGAGTAGCAATTTCTTGCAACTACTTTTAACCTTAGTTTAAAAAAGTAAAACAGTTCAAACCCGACAAATCAGATTGATCCAGGGGTCTGTTCGGACGTTCTGTAAAAGGTCCTGTTTTTGTAAAATTGTGAAAAAATTACTCGTAATTTGTGAATATAAAATAAACGTTAAGCCACAATCTTTCAAACAGCTTTTGAGAATTTGTGCAAATAGGGTCCTGTTATTGCAAAAAACTTTTTCAAGGAGTTTTTTAAATTGTAAATAGAGAGAAGAATATGCTCAACACTGTAAAATTATAATATAAAAAAATTAAAATTTCAAAAATAAATAGTAATTGCTGCTACTAAATTAGAGGTGCAACATACATATATTTGGCATTTTGCCTATACTGCTGAAAGCAGAATATTCATTTTAGACGAATAATGGAAGAAGCGTCTGCCGAAGACAAAACTTAATTTGTTTACATTGTCTTTCTTTTTTTCCCCCGGGAAGAGTTTATTTGATTAACAAAACAATAATGAAGATGACACAAATTTGTGAAGGGTCCAATTAAAAGATCAATCATTTTGTGAAGAGTTAGTTTTTAAGTTAAAATATTTTGTGAAGGGTCCATTTTTATGAAAAGATATTTTGTGAAGGGTCCATTAATGGACCCAAATTTCTTTTAAACAGATCTCTGTGATCGATCAGATTTTCATATCAGATTGGTGCAAATCTTACGAGAGTCTATCAACAGACACAATAAGAATGTCCCTGATATACTTAGTACAATTTTTTCAGTTAACTTAAGCTCTAAATTCTTGAAATATTTGATAATTTTCAAGCATGTCTTAATGAGAGCTGTCAAGATAGACATAAAGAGTTGGAAGAAAATCTGTTTAAATTAGCTCTTTTATTATAAACCATTTTTTACAACTTTTTCTTTCAATATTCACAGTTTTTAGTTTTGAATTTAAATTAAATTAAAACCTCCAGCAAAAAAAGCAAAATTTGTCACTTAACCATTGGGGTCCATTGTTCCAACAAACGATCAATTTTTTAGAGATTCTCGAAAAACAGATGAATTAATCTTTTAGGGATCTAAATAGAAGATGAGTCTTGATGATTTTTTAATTTTTATTTTGACAAGAGACTTTTTCTGGTAAAACTTAATTGCATAATTTCAATAGGCTATTTTTAATTCACGATTTTGATACTTATAAATTTTTTTTGTTAAGTTTTATTTTGTTTAAATAATCCTTTAACATAAATTATTAACTGTTCTTTTTTTACATAATGTGATTATTATGTAAAAAAAACAAACAAATAAAGTTTGGTATTTTGTTCTTATTTATATGATAAACACATTATGTAGAGCAGCTGAAACACTAAATCAGTTACATATTTATTCGCTTTCCTGTGAAATAAACCATATAAAAAATCTTAAAGCATTCTGTTTATCTAAAGCATCATCTCAACAATAATCAACATCAATAATGATAATATTTATCCTAATACAAACAATTAAATTTATTTTACACTTCAAACAGTTAAAATAATGAAGAAATGTTTTTAATACACAAGTTTCATTAAAAAAATCTGTACAATTTTATTATTCTCAGTAATGAAGACTGTTTCAATTAGGCAAAATAATAATAATAATAATTTCCAAGAAATTAACAATTTGCTTCTGTCACATTTGAGAAGAAAAGTTAAGCAGTATTTATTTATTTATTTTTTTATCAAAATCTGATAGGATAATCAAAGCAATTATTTTATGCTTTAACTTTTTGCTAACTTGATAGTTTTCATAAATAATTTTTCTAAAAAGTATTTATTTTTTTTCCTGAAATTTCAAAACTGAAACTAAAAATGCTGTTTGCAGAAAAAGAAAATTGATCCCATCATCGGTATTATAATTTAACATTTCTTCAAAGTGTGAATATTTCTGTTTATCAATTGAAAAACTTTATTTTCTATTTTAAATGTAACAATTTCAATTTATATCCATATAAATTAAACAAAAACATTCTCAAAATATTACACTTAATTTTATTACATTGCCAGCATTTTTTTTTTTTTTTTTCATGAGATTTGAATTTTTCAAATCTTGATAATCTTAATTGTAACCACTATTAAAGTACTGTTAAGTTTTTCTGAAAATTTTTCGTAAAATTATTGTATTTTTCACTTAAGATTTTAAAAAAAGAAAAGAAATAGAAAAGGAAAAACATGTTTTTGAGAGAGAAAAATTATTTAAAGAAAAATTATTTTATTATCAGCATCAACAAACTTAAAGGAGTAAAATTATAAAATTTATTTATTAGTTTTCCAGATTTAATTCACTTTTCTTTTCAATTTGTTTCCGATTGATAAATAATTTTTTTTGAACTATTTTCATGGTGTGAAAATAATAAATAAATCATAGTCTTCCAAATCCTCTAAAATAATTTATGCAATTACAACTAGATAGAATTTTGATAAAATGTTTCCAATGCAAAATAATAATAGATTAAAATAATAATATAGTAAAACAATAAATAATAATAATAAGGTTGCCACTCTAATCTGTAAATATAAATTCCCTGTACATATTATACACAATATATTTAGAGGAAACACATAATCAAGGTGCTCTTGTGTGAGCCATATCGGACAAACTACACTAGTTTTAATTGCTGGAAAAACTTAGAGAAACAAGGTACAGCTGAATATACTTCAAATAATACTATAGTAAATGAAATAGTTTAGTATAGCTAAAATATCCTTTAATCCATTTATGGTGACTACTCAAGCACAATATTTCCATTTGTGCTTGAGTAGTCACTATTTTTTCGAAGACGAAAATAAGAAACAAAATTCCCTGTATTTTTCCAGTTTGTAAGGAAAAACTAAAAATTCCCTGTATTTTCCCTGTTATTTTAGGTGATTTTCAAATTCCCTGTATTTTCCAGGTTTTCCCAGTGGAGTGGCAACCCTGATTTAATAATAAAAAATAAATATTTATAATGATTTTTAAATAGTAATTTTAAAATAATAAAACAAGCAAAGTTCATGACACCTTCACTTTGCATTGGCTCGCCCCCCACAGTCAAAGATACCTAAGCACACCACTAAAAACAGAAAGGATATGGCTACTATGTTTCATATTCCAATGGAGAATTATCTCCATTGTTTATCTCTTTCTGAATACGAGAACCATACCTTTTCCCAATCAGCAAGAATCAATACAAGAGCAGACATTTTAATAGTTTTCATTCATAAAGTTTCTGATACTTTATCATCAAGGAATCAAATAGATTTCTTTTTTTGGAGAAAGTAAAAGCGCCCTTGAAAATAACTTCACTGCCATGCTTTATGTAACAAAAACAACATTCAGTAATCTTCTCTACTCGATGACTTCGTATAGCACAGCTAGCGTATGAAATTTCTTTTGAAAACTAGTTTACTTTTTGCAGTCACATTTTAAAAATAAAAATTAATCAAAACGCTAACATCTACATAATCCTCTCGAAAATATGAAAACACGAAAATTTACATTCAAAGCAGTTTATTAATTTGCACTAAGTTCCTATAAGGAATAAAATAATTGATACTTCATTTATTAAAAAAATTATTTCGTTTTAGGGCAGGTAAAATCCATGTTTTACCCTCTTCAGGTAAAACAAATACATTAACAGCTTATTTTGTAACAGTAATTATGTACCGACTACGATGTTTTGAATATAATAGAGTGGCGCCACCTTTAGGCTATTTTTAAATATAGTTTATCACAAGAAACGTTTATTCATTAAGAATAATTTAATTTACATAAAGATAGGTCTAGAAAATACAGCAATTTTGTAAATAAAATACAGCAATCATTTGAATTACTTTAAAACCATTTTAAATTAAACTAAAAGAAAAATGTTAAAACATTACTTCTATCAAATTAACAGTAAATCTCAAAAAAAATTATGTGAAATAAATGGATATTAAATTATGTGAATACTAACTACTTCAACAAAATTATTTTTACTAGACACTTAAATCACAACGCTTATTAAATCATGAGTTTGTTTAATTAGTAAGTAGGCGCGTACTAAAAATAAAAAATATATTTATTTATCTGATGTTATTGTTTAAAAATAGAAATAAATGAAAGAAATTGGATTAATTGGAATTTTCTAACCTCTAAAAAATTTACATTTAAATAACTTATGTAATATTCCTTTAAATAACTTACGTAATATTCATTTAAAATAAAGTATAAAACCATTTCATAAAACAATTTAATAGTAAAATGGTTTAGCAGCAGCTGTGAACGATTACGTCTAAAATATTCAAATTAAATAAGAACATCGCTAAAGAAGAATATATATATACTAAGATGAAATTGCATGCAATATTAAACGGTGAATTCAATAAAAAAGAGAAAAAAAAATTGCAAAAGAGTTAACAAAATAACAATTAATAAAAAGCCATTGATGGATCACCATAATCAAACAAAATATATCATTTAAATATTATAACCGACGTCCTTATGAAGATACTTTAAAATCACTCTTTCCTTTCTTTTTTTCTTTGAAAAAAAAAAAAAAGGTGTGAGAAAATTATTTCCTTTTCAAACAAAATTCCTTCTCACAAAGTAACATACCCTCCAATAATTTAGAAAATTTTAGGAAAGGTTATGTATTAATATTTCACTACATACATACAATATTTACAGAGATCAGATAGACAAATGTTAATAATTCTGATAAAAGTTTGATGAAAATTAGATTTGTTCTAAAAGTTTCTACTTTAGTTCATTACCACTAGACAAACCACACATACTGGAGGGCCATTACATTCAAAAGATATTTTAGGAGTAAAAGCCCTGAAATTGTGTTCATGATAATACAAAATGTATTATCACATATAAAATAAAAATTTCTGAAACATACATTTAAAACTATTTGGAGGTACCTCTCTTATGGGCACGTGGCCCGTTTAGATAGAAAGATAGTGTATTAATAAATACAGGGTATCAGCTACATTTTAGATTTTCAAATCCATGACTTAAGACTCTCCATGATTAATTTCAAGAATTTTTTATGACTAACAGAAGTTACTATTTTCTCCGACAAAAACACAACAATAAATTTAAAAAAGCATTTTAATAACATTAATTGTAATGATAAGTATAACTAAAACTTTTATACTCTGCATCTTTACATTTATTGATTTTAAACTTAAAAAACAGAGTAAACAAAGAGTTAAAGCAATAAAATAGTTTTAAAAAATACATAAACAAATAATTTAATACAGTCAGATATATGTAGTTATTTAAACCTGTTTTACTTCTTCTTAAAAGTAAGTGTAATATAAAAAGCCTAAACTAGAATTTTAAATTGATGAAATGAAAAAAGTAAATAATAAATAGATTAAAAAAAATTCTGAAATGAAGGAAGTTTAAAAGATAATTTGCTCAAGAAATGATCTTTCTTTCATTTTTTAAAAAAACACCCATAATTTTTAAGGAACAGGATAAAAACATTTTATATTTTAATAAAGTAGGACTATGAGTGGGAATTTTGCTGAAACTTCAGATATTCGGAGTTGGGAGTGGGGTAAATTCCATTTTAAAAATTAGATTTTTCAGAAACTTAAATCGGGACTTTCCATGATAGTTTTTCTAAAAAAAAATAGTTAAAATCATGACATTTCATGACAAATTTTGTTCAATACCGAAATCCATGACTTTCCAGGTGCGCAAATACCCTGTAAATAAACGAGTTATTAAAAAAATAATAATAAACAGGGGCACGTGGCCCGTTGTCTGTAACTAATTGAGTCCCAGTAAAATACGGTAAAATATTTTTTATATAACATCAGTTAAAACTTTAAAGTGTCAATCACAAATTTAAACAAAACAAACAAAACACAGAGAAAAATACCTTTTCTACCCACAGATGAAGAGAATCACCTTGGGGGGCACTTTCAACCCATAACTCACTGTCCCGATCATAAAAAATATAGAAAAACTGATCGACGGTTTAAAAAAAAAAAGATGCGGGTGGTAGATATTCTTTCCAGGTGGGGAATCAAAAAGAAGTTTCGAATAAAGAAACAGAATGGGTAGGGATGGGGCTATGCAATCAAAACGTTATGCCAGAAGATAGCTTCTTGTTCGATTACAGTAAAAAAAAAACGCACATTCGAGTACAATTTTTTTTTTCTTTCTAAACAATGGAGGGGAGAAAAGCATTGCTCCAATGAAAAACATGTTCCATGAACATTTTATTAAAAATGAGGAGATTCGTAGTTAGCCAAAGAAGTAACTAGTCAAAAAAAGAAACGATTAGGACGATAATCAGTTAATTAATCGATAATCAATTAATAATTTAATCGACATCAATTCAAACGATAATCAATTATTTGAAATAGTAGACATATACTAGGCTCTTTATTTTATTTTATTATTTTTTTTTTTTTTTAAAGACCAACAAACTTTTAAGTATAATAAAGGCAAATTTTATTGCAAGAGAATAATGAAATATAATATTTTTTTTAATTCAGAATTATTTTGTTTAAAACAGAAAGTTTTAACAGTTTCAAGCACAACTTTAATGAATGGAGCACAGAACAACTCATAACTAGTTGATATCAACACAAACCTGTCACACATTAATGTGAGCACCACCTACTTATGACGTCAAATTGAAATAACCATTCAAGAAGCCAGATTTAGATAAAATGAAAAACTTATAGCGAACAGAAAATTTCAATTAAAAATCTTACTGCAAGCAATTGATTCCAGTAATTTACTTTCAACCTCTTCGTCGTCACCTCATTTTGACAAAATTTGTTTATAAACGGAATGGATTTTTTTCTTTAAAATATTTAAATTTTTATACAACTTTAAATTGATTCATTCCACAAGGAAGAATGAATTTGGAAAGAAAAAAGCTGAAACAGAAATCCAAAAACGCTTTTGAAAAAATAGAGTCGGACCTCTATTTAACGAAGTCGCTAAATCCAGATAAAAAGTTCCAGATATAAAATTCGTTGAATAAAAATCACCACTTGAAATACTTAAGCACCACAAAACAGGCTTACAGGCAGTTAAAAAAGCAATTGATACACCTTTATCTTGTAAATTATTACCTGCTATCGAATTGTTTCAAATGATTTTAACATTTCATCATATGAAGGTTTGGTGATATCTTTTTTATCTTCGTCTTCCTCACAATTTATTGCTCCACTTTTTTTATTTTCGGCACTGTCCAAAATATTCGATTCAGTTAATGTTTCTGTGGTAGCAACTTCAAAATCAATAAAAAGTAAATCATTAATCAGTACATCATCGTTAATGACTAAGAATGCAGCATTAGAAAAACTGTTACGAATAGTACGATCTGTAACATTATAGTTCCAAGCTTTAGAAATTTCTGTCATGCTATCTCGTAAATTGACTTTTGGCATGGATTCCTGTATGAAATGCAAACAAAATGGGATTTTAATGCTCTCTCTAAAAGTTAAACCCCCATAAAAAAATGCGTTTACAAATTTGAAATGTTCTGAAATATTTTGCAAACTAGGGAAAGTGGATCTAAAAATATTAAAAAAAAAAAAAAAAAAATTTTAANAAAAAAAAAAAAAAAAAAAAAGGTTCGTTACATAGAAAATTTACTTCAGGGTGCGTAGTCATATTTTCAGCAAAAAATAAGCACCTTTAAAGTACTTTTTAAGCACTCAAAAAATATTCTTAAGCACTTTAAAAAAATATTATAATTAGGATATGCACACTAATAATTTTTTTCCCTTCATATTTTTGAAAGTTCCTCAGATCTATAGGTTAACAAAATGCAAAATAGTTTTCTGACAAAGAATTCTTTTCGTGATTATATTAGCCACCATAAAAACAATTTCACCATTTTAAATACATTCAATATTGAGTGAATCATTCAATTTTTTAAATTTATTAATTGCTTTACACAATTATGTAAAAAAAAGTTATTCAAAATTAAAAGTAATTAATTTAACTATTATTTAAAAAGATTATCTCTCTTGCAAAATGCAGCAGAGTTGCTCATGAGAATATATGTTGTTGTAGCTGTAGTTTATTTACGTCGCACTAGAGCTGCACAATGGGCTATTGGCGACGGTCTGGGAAACATCCCTGTGTATGATCCGAAGACATGCCATCACAATTTTGATCCTCTGCAGAGGGGAGGGCATCACTGCTTCGGTAGCCCGACGACCTGCACGCGAAGTCGAGCACTTTACGGTAGAACAGTTTAACGAGGACCAATACCGCACACCCTCGGCCCTTAAGCAGACTGATCCAAGTGGTCACCCACCAGCGCACTGACCGCAACCAGTGATCTGCTGGGAACCGTGTCTTAACGATCAGTCCACTCCGGGACGAGAATGTATGAATCCTTCCCACTCAGTATCCAGCTCAGTACTCGAACCCGCAAGTATTTCATAAAATGATTAGTGCTTTCATACCCTTTAGACCGATGGTATGTCGAAATAGATTGTGGTTGAATGAATGATGAAAACATTGAATAGAACAATGTGAAAAGCACGCTTTTTGAATAATTCGAAGCAAAAATTGATATCGTAAAGAAAAAAATCTCATTTTGGAAAAGGGAAAATTAAGCACTTTTTAAAAACACTCAATGAAAAAAGCACCTTTAAGGGTTTTTAAAAAACGAAAGTTGAAAATAAGCAC